CACCTGGGGCTAGCTGCTTTGAAGCTGTCCAGGGAACACCAGGGGCTGGTGTTGGAGCAGTGTGTAGTTGATTTGAAATCTATCGGGACAGATAGACTAGGGAGGGAAGGTAGAGATAAAGAGTTTAGAGGAAGATTTTTAACCATGGTGTACATTTGAAACTTTTAGGCCCACCATTCTAGAAGTTGGAAGAGAGGAGTCCCAAGACCAGGGAAAGGGAGAGATCCTACCCCCAGGACTAGGCCATTGGGAAACCTAGGCTGTAGGTTGAGAGGAGTACCTATCTGGAGTCTGTTTGACCTGTGAGAGGTGAATCCGAGTCTATTCCCTGAAGCTTATAAAAAGGTTTTTTTTTTCTCTTAGTTTATAAAAAGAAGCAAAAACCTCAGGTATGTTTTGCATCACCACCGTTTGCAATCTCAATTGAAATCCACATTGAAGAAAGAACAGTAGACTCATGCTTTTATGTCACAGTAAAAGCTTGGGGAGCCCAAAATGAGTTTGGGTTAAAAGCATTACCAACCTTTCCTCTACCCAGAAGACTGGGTGTATAGAGTTTGGGCAGATGTTTTCAGCATAAACCTAACACTAGGGAACTCAGGTGCCTAACAATTGATTTACCCACCGAGACGTCTCCCCAGCCCCCTGGAGGGCCTTTTCTAACCACAGTCTCCAGCCAGCTCTCCCATCACTTGGCCTGTGATCAGTGGTGGGTGACAGGCGGCTTTGGCTGAGACCTGGTTTTCTTTCTGGATAAGGACTAGCAGATCTTCATAGAAACTCTGCTCTTACCATCTGTCTGACTGGCCTGTGACAGAACGGAAAGGTCTCACAGTGCTTGCCCTCATGAATAGGAGTCTGCAGGGAATCCAGGAAATAAAAGTAAATTACCCATCTGGATGCAAGGCAATGGGACAAATCTTGTCTGTGATTTAGATTAAAGAATGTCCTTAATCCCTAGCTCTGGAGCTGACATCTCTACTGAACAGTGATTGGCTTTGGATAGGAATCTTCAGGCTCCCTGGACTGACATTCAGGGATGTTTAGGCCTGGTAAACATTTGTCTTTGTTACGTGGCATTTGATTCCGTACACGTCTTATTTAAGACATAAATGTCAATCTCTCTCTTTCTGTGTGTGTGTGTGTGTGTGTATGTGTGTGTGTGTGTGTGTGTGATATACACATCATTATTGTACACACTGCCCTAACAACCATGGTGTCACAGATAAAGACTGAAATCTTCAGTGGTCTAATCTTCTAATTTAGTTTAGGTCAAGTCCAAGGAAAAGCATCCCAGCACCAGCAACAGATGTGCCACTAGAAGCAATTCTTGTTCTGACATGTTTCTGTTTTAAAACAGGTAGGGAACGCAAAGACAGGAATACAATGACTAGACTTTTTGTTTGTTTCTTCAAAGATGAAGCAACAGAGTGAATTGCCCCAAACCATCTGTTTGGAAAGATGAAGAGAGCAATGGCAACTGAGGAAGGTATTAGAAATTCACAGCAAAGATCCACTCCAAGGAAGAAAAGAAAGATTCAAAAGAAAAAGGGAACTTAAGCTGTACGCCTTCTAGGTGAGGGTTGAGGGGATGGAGGATGTCAGTCAGTGAGAAGAGAGCAAGCATGGGGTGACAGTGTAGCTCCAAGTTCAAAGAGCATCACTGGGAGAGGCAGATATTTCCATAACTGTATTCGTCAACAGTGTGTGACTTAGCGGGGGAACTGAGGCAGTTTTCTGCCTATGAGTTTATAGAAACATGGGCAGTTGTTTCTGGCCTTTTGTGGGGGCATCTCTTGGTCTCAGAAAGGGGGCGTGGTGAGAAATAGCAAGAGATTTAGAACTGTGACTTTATCTTGCTGCTGAGAAGTCACCATGAAAGTGCCTTGGTGGATGGGGTCCCACGTGGTTCAGGAGTATGTTATTCAGGAGTATGTTATGAGTGGTGTATATTGTATTTCCACAGTGGGTGCATTCTCTAGCAAAGATTGTCAAATGGTTTTATTGCCTAAATGGTTAATGCTCAGTGAAAGCCAGGAACTGACAGGCTTGTAGAGTTATAAATACCTGTCATAGAGCACATGCCATCAAACTGTTTTCCAGAAACTGTGGCATGGAAGCTAGTTGTGATCCCTTTTGGGCCCAGAGAATTGCCAACTACTCAAAGTCACACAGCAAAATGTCAGAGCTGGGCAGGGCATGGATGGTTCGGCTTTGTGATTCTGATATATTTCTTGTGTTCTGTGTTCCCATTCCTTGTTCTGGACCTTTATCCAACCAGAATCTCTTACCATTGCTATTTCTGGGGCAGAAGAAAAGCTGCACTTTGTGCAGACAATGGATGGAATGGAGGCCCTGGATGTCTCTGAGATTCTCTCATGAGAACACTTCTTTGGGCTTGGTATCACTCTGGCCTTTTATGGTCCTGTTCTCCCTCATTCTTCACACATCTGGGCTGAGGCACGGTAGTGTCATTGGTGGTGTGTGGAGACTGCTACTCATTGGATAACATTGTGGAGTTCCTTCATGCCAGGCACTGGGAATCCAATGGTACCCTGCCTCTGACCTGAGTTAAGCCCATCATTTGAAATTAAGAAGTCTATAGCCAGATGATTAATGTTATTTGATAGTGATTTGATACTAAGCAAATGCTATCAGAAGAAAACATAATTCCCCTTGGGAGGAGAACTTGGAAGGAAAGGAAGGCTATGTCAAGCAGCATGTATCAAAGACACCCAGATGAGTGGGGGAAGGGAGAAGGCAGGGGGCAGTATTCTCCTTTCTGCCTGCCAGTCAGCTGTCCCAGCCTCTTCTGCTGGCCCTAACCCTTACAGAGCAGCCCCTGCTTCCTCTGGCCTCTCACTTTTGGGTGAGATTGACCAGTGGGAGATCTGTGAGTAAAGACTGTGTTCTAGCAGTGTGTACTCCTGTCCTGGAGGCCACAGCTGCTGTCAAGAGACCTTCCTCAGTCACAGCTTCCTCCCCCTCTTGCCTCTGATGACCAAAGGGTGGCAGCAGCTTGCAGCCAGGGTGCTTCACAGTCCTTGTCGCCTTCCCTCACTCCTCCCCTCCTTCATTCAGCTTCCTTCATTCACCTTCTTGGAATCTTCTGGCTACTTCTGGCTTGGATCCTGACCAATAACCTTGCACAGCCTCTACCCAAAGTAAGGTGGCCCAAGGTATTGGACATTATGGTGGCCTTTCAGGGGTCAGACTCTGCTGGATCTGGTGGGCCATGTTAAGGACACAGACCTTGATATTCTCTCCTTCCCTCCCTCCTTCCTTCTATCCCTCTTCCTCCTCTCTCTCTCTCTCTCTCTCTCTCATTCATATATATGTAAACTTATATATGTATGTAAATGTATGTGAGTATATATGCAAGTGTCTACCTTATTTTTTGAGACAGGGTTCTCTCATTGAACCAGGAGCTTGCTAATTACACTACATGGGTTCTAGTCCAGGGGGCCCTCCTGCCTCTGTCTCTTCAGAGCTGGGGTGATAGGTGCTTTTTTGTTGTTGTTGTTTAAACAAGTGTTGGGTATCACATAGAAATATTTATAAACAAAATACACATTCAGTGCTGCTTGGTGGATTAGAGACAGAGAGGGTCCGAAAGAAAGATTAAGATAAGTTCTTATTGTTGTCACTTGCTGGATGACAATGCCACTCCTGAGCTGGGAGTACCAGGCCAGGGCTACTTTAGGGACAAGGTTGAGAAGTCAGTCACAGGGGGAGAAACTCTGTGGTTCTTTAAAGAGTGATATGCTACCAACAACTCACCGGGGACTGGAGAGATGGCTCAGAGGTTAAGAGCACTGACTGTTCTTCCAGAGGTCCTGAGTTCAATTCCCAGCACCCACATGGTGGCTCACAACCATCTGTAATGAGATCTGGTTCCTTCTTCTGGCCTGCAGGCAGAACACTATATACATAATAAATAAATAAATCTTTAAAAAAAAAAAAAAAAACTCACCGGGAAGGCGGCTGGAGTCTTTGTAATGGATAAAGCACCTTGGAGATCACTCGTTATGGAATTGTTTCCACGAGACAAAGAGCCAGGCTAGAGTGGGTTGAGGCTCAGGTCTGAGGTGAGGAATGCAGCCACAGGGGGATGCTGAGAAGAGGGTGCCAAAGGGAGGAGACAGAAGGATGTTACGTGGAGGAAGAAAGTGGAGTTAGCTAGAGCAGTTTGCTTTGTTTTGTGTTTCGTAAGGGAGCACTCCCTGGGAAAAATCAGTGGGGAGGTAGAAGCTGTGTGGACAGAAGGATCGTTGGCAGTAAAGAGTTCTGAGGAGGGTGGACAGCTCATGGAAACAGGTGAAATTCCTTCACTTATTCCGCCTTGAATGTATGTACCACAACAGAGGGAAAGAAGAGAGGATGCAGAGACAGATGCGGGTGGGCTGGCGCTTTTGAACATGTGCTGCAGAAGCACTCTCCAGATGTTGGGTCTTTGGTATTTAGTAGGGGATAGCACCCAGGAGTTACCTGCTCAGACTGTGGGTATGTGAGTGTGTGTGTGAGCTTGCGTGAGCGTGTGTGTGCAGGCACAGCGTGTGTGCTGGCATGTGAGGGGCACACGCATGCTCACGAGAAACTTCGGTAATTCAGCACTGAACAGAAAAGTTCGCACTGATAGACCAGAAGGAGCCAGTTCTAATCTGGTGAGCAGAGGAGGCCGGGACTCCCCAAGTGTCCCCCTACTCACCACCTGTCCTGAGGAGCAGCATATGAGGAGAGAAAAACCTGAAGATGTGTTTCAAATGCTACCGTGACATTTATAGGACTACAGATGAAAATAGAAAGTCTGCAGGCATGGCTTGCCTGTGAGAAGAGAAAATTGCTCACTCAGGAATCTGCCCTTCTCTGTTCTGCAGAGACTTTCCAAGGCATGCGCACACAGGTGAGTGATGTAAACGCTTTAGGACCATAGACTGAAGGCACTGGACTTGGCTACAAGGCCAGCTTCATACATATGTGGCTGTGGGATATTTCTGCTGATATGTCACCTGTTTGGGGGGTGTTTCTATGAATCGTTATTAGGCTGCTGGACCGAACTCCCTCGTCTCCAGGCATCTGAAAGGAGATGCTAGCTCTGCTGTCTAGATGAAAACAGCCTCAGAGTGGCACATCTTCTCCCTGTGGGCTCCAGGCGAAACGTTATGATGTTCATTGTTTGCAGGTGGGTAGCTTCTAAGTGTTTCCTTCGTATCTGTGTATCTCAGATCATGGAAGAAAATGTTGGGGTGACTTACTCCTCTCTATTGTACAAACCCAGGAGCTATTCAAGAGCCAGGCCAAGGCTCTTTTTATACTCTCATTCCATTATGTGGGTGATTTGAATCTCTATTTATTAACGTCTATCCTATTTACTCCTTACGACAACCTTATGGGGGTGTGGGGTGTCTAGAAGGCCTTTTCAGATGTTGTGATTAAAATTAGACTCTGTGCATGCCTGAACCAGATGCTCCCGCCACACCCCTACTCTCTTCCGAGTTACCCTGGACAGTCACTGCCACACTTTGAATCTGAGGTGTCCCCTACAGACTTGTTGGTTTTCAGCCTCACTGTTTGGCTAGTGGTGTCATTTGGGGAGACGATAGAATTTTTAGGAGGTGGGCCCACTCCCCAGCTTTTAGAAGGAAGTAGTCACTGGGGGTGGCCCTTGGGAGTACACCCTCTTTGGGTTTTGTTGCTGCCTCCTTGCTATGTTTCCTGGCCCATCTTCTCTCTGAGGAGCTCTGCCACACACTGTTGCTTCCATGGAACCACACCCTCATGCCTTTCCTGCTGTGATAGTTGGTACCCTCTGAACCTGTGAGCCAAAAAAAAAATGGTTCTTCTTTTATGTTGACATCTGTTGGGAGTTTTGTCACAACAATGATAAAAGAAACTAACAGAGTCACCAACTCTGTTTATTTCTTTTTGGGATAGGGTCTCACTCCATAGTGTGGGCTGGGCTTGAACTCCCAGTCCTCTTGCCTCAACCTCCAGAATGCCAGGATTAGTTATATACCATGGTGTATCTACCACAAACTCTTATTAAAGGCCTATTGGGTAGGACAAGGCCAGTGCAACCATGATGATGCAACTCTAAACCAGCTCACTCAGAAGTGCACTATGACCTGGGATGCTGTCTGTGCTGTTCCATTCTAGCCACGCTTGTCTCCCTTGGGAAGTCAGCATTTACCATAGGGACCCATGAAAGGAACTGAAGACACAATGGCTGTGTTACCCGAGTTTAAGGTCAAGAGCTCCGGCTCCAGGAATCATAACAGATTGGTACGGCCACCTGTATGGTAACAGTTAAATGGCACAAGGTAGAGAAAGGGGATTTAAGTAATGTGGTGGTGTTGGAAAGAGAAGAAGATGATAGGGTTCAATGACCTCAAGTCCTTCTTCAGGCACTGACATGAGCTTTAGATTTAAATACAGGACGGATTGGAGTAGAGAACAAGAGGTATGAGTAATTGCCATGTTGGCCAAGGTTTCTATGGTGGATCATTATCTTAGTTTATTCTACAATGTGGATGATTGGCCTAGGACTCTACCCCTCAAGGCTGGCTGTTGCTTGAGGGTAGTATTGGTCTCAGTTACTTTTCTATTGTTGTGAAGAGACACCATGACCAAGGCAACTTACAAAAGAGAGCATTTGATTGGAGCGTTGCTTGCAATTTCAGAGGGTGAGTCCGTGACTATGATGGTGGGGAGAATGGCAGAAGACAGGCAGGCATGTTGCTGGAACAGTAGCTGAGAGGGAACTTTTTACTCACAGCAGGAGGGAGGGAGGGAGAGAGAGGCTGGACCAGCATGGGCTTTGAAAGTTCAAAGTCCGCCCCTAGTGACACACCTCCTCCAAACAGGCCACACCTCTTGATCTCTTTTCAAAATAGTTCTACCGACTAGGGACCAAGCATTCAAACATATGAGCCTATGGCAATCATATCTTGTTCAGACCGCCATAGTTTCTTTTGAGGATATTTATCAATCCTCGTCTTTACTCCTAGAATCTAAGACAAAAGTCCCTAGGGCAGAGGTTGTCAACCTGTGGGTCACGTCCCCTTTGATAAAAATTCTATCTCCAAAAATATTTACCTCGTGATTCATAACAGTAGTAAAGTTGCAGGTATGAAGTAGCAATGAAAATAATTTTATGGTTGGAGGTCACCACACCGTGAGGACCTGTATTAAGGGGTGGAAACATTAGCAAAGTTGAGAACCACTGCTCTAGAGGAAAACACTGGAGCAGAAGGGACAACATGGAGTTAGCGAGGACCGTGACTGGTGTCTTCCTTCAGCTGTTCTTGCTTATCTGAATTTCAGGATTTTATGTACATTGGACACAGATGTTTTTCCACCCACAAAGCCCTTAACAGGTTTTATTGCATTTGCTGACAAATTATTTTTTTCCAAGGGCAGAGTTCCAGACCCAGGCTTAAGTTTTTGGCTCACCCCCATGATCTCTTCTCCTCCATCTGCCCTGTCACTGCCACGCCTTGGGGGAGGACGTGGGCTCTGTGTGTCAAGACTCTGGCAGATTTAGAGCCTGCTTGGCTCAGGGCCAATGAGATTTGGACCCGTAAAGGCTTTACTTCCATTCCCTTTTGCAATTTCCCTTTTAACTTTCTGGCTTCAATTTAGTTAGATTGCCATTAGATTGTACAGGCTCCACTATATAACTAAAAGAGGTTTCTTCATGTTGGAGGCGAAGTCTCTTGTAACCCAGGCTGGCCTTGAACTCAGTGTATCAGAGAGAATTATCTAGAACTCCTGTTCCTCTTGCCTCTATCTCACAAGGTCAGGGATTACAGCCCGTGTCACTGTGCCAGGTTGAGTTGTCTGTAAACCATGGCTTCCTGGGACCACTTATACTTCCTAATGTGATTCCTTTGTCTCTCTGCTATCCTGAGGCTTTGGAGGGGCCATGGAGAAACAGGATTCTGAAAACAAGCCTTGCGTGGTTCCATCTATAGTAAGATTATCATATTTTATTTTATCTTAGTTTCTTTCCCAACACTCAGGGGTAGTTGTTAGAATATTTCTATTTTAATTGGTAAAGTAATGTACTCAAAAACTCTTGCTTCCGGCAGGGCAGAACTTATCTTCAGTGTCAAGATTTGAATGACATGGTTGGGGTCATTGTGTTTCTGGTGTTGCCTGAGGGTAGCAAGGATAGGGGAGCTGAAGGTTAGATGTACAAGAAGGAAAAGATTGACTCCTGTAATGAGTACTTTCTGGAGGAGAGGTATAAAACCCACTGGTCTTGGGGTGTTCACACTCCTCATCTATCAAAGGGGAGAAATGATAACAATGACGATTACAACCAAACTCCCTTGAGAATTTATTTCTCCTGTTGTACTCCTTATTTCTGGGATTTCTATGAGTCTATGGTGCCTGGGAGATACCACCGAAATGGAATTCCTTGTAGTTCATGCATTTATTCAGTGAATATATGTTGAGTGCCTACTCAGTTGTTTTATTGATTGCCACCCCCCTTAGGCACAGTGCCTAGGGCTTAAGAGCTTGTCAAGCGCCTACAACAATATTTGAGATCTACAATTAAATTATTAACTCCAAGACAGAAAGCAACATTTCATAAATGTCTAATTGAGTGTCTACTAAGCTAACATCATGCCGACCAGCCAACTGTTAACAATTTAACACTTTTGTAATTACATATAAGTAATACATATAAACGAGCTTTACACCTCAAGAAGAAAGTAATGAATTTAACACATGAATGGCTAACGTTTCAAAAAAAAAAAAAAAAAAAACAAAGCCGTGACTGTCATCTAAGTATATAATGTGAACATGCATCAAATATTTTATAAATCAACCAGAAAAATCATAAGATATTACAACTAATCTGGAAGTATGTAGGTCATGAAATGAACTTGCAAATAAATGCAAAACTCTTTCCAAAATGGGGGTAGAAATCAGCTATTTACCAGACAGAACAGAATTAGTTTGCATGCTTAGAGACAAGAGTCAATTTGCATTGCTATCATTTCTTTTTCTTTCTTTCTTTCCTTCTTTCTTTCTTTCTTTCTTTCTTTCTTTCTTTCTTTCTTTCTTTCTTTCTTTCTTCCTTCCTTCCTTCCTTCCTTCCTTCCTTCCTTCCTTTTTTAAACAGGGAATTATAGAGTCTACACACAGGCTCAGGTAAGCCATAGTATGTGTGGGATTCGTGCAGACAACAGCCTATTTTCAAGTAAAAATACATAGTGATCATTCAGGCACATTTTAAGGTCATTCACATTTCTTCTCAAAGAGAAATAATGCTTGCTTGATCACCAAAATAAGTGATTCCGACTAGGTGTGGCCTGAATACTTACAGAGACGAGACAAGGACAGTCATCAACACATTGTCTTCCTTTAGCCTGCAGAACTTAGCAAATCGTGAGCCATATATATTGAACAACCAACCACACTGCTTTGATTTTTATCTAGGAGTTCTTACAAGGAATCTCAGATGGCTTCTAGCTCCTCTCCTATTTACTATCTGAAGACAACTTGGTGATTTGAATGAGAATGGTCCCTCATATATTTGAGTGTTTCATCCACAGTTGGTAGGACTGTGTGTGAAGGATTAGGAGGTGTGGCCTTTTTGGAGGAAATGCGTCACTGGGTGTGGGCTTGGGGGTTTCAAAAGCCCATGCCATTCATAGTTAGTTCTCTCCGCTTCCTGGCAGTTATCTCTAGATGGGAGCTTTTCATATGTTAAAGCTGGTTTACTGCTCCAGCTCCATGCCTGCCTGCTGCCATATTCCCCACCAAAAAACTCTGTAAGCCTCTTGATAAACTTTTTTTTGTTTTGTTTTTTTCTGTAAGTTGCCTTGCTTGCACTGTCTTATCACAGGAATAGAAAAGTAACTAAGAGACCAGGGATGGCAAGAAACTCTTTCCATCAAACTCCACCTGCAGGACCTATGAATTTAGGTGAACTCCTCTGCACTTAAAGGCCCTAAAATTCTCTACTTTGAAATGACTCATGAGCACACCCAATGTCTATTTCTCAAAGCAAAGCCTTACCTAATTCTGACATAGGAACTATTAGATAAGACCTTGATTGTCCAATCAATTTGTCTAATATTTTAGTGAAAAGAGGAACTGATTCTTACCAAAACTGTAGAAATAACCATATTGCAATGGAAGGTATGGAAATCCTTTCAAAAATTCCTG